TGCGACTGGCAGAAAGCCAAATTGAAGAGAACAAAAATGCCTTTGAAATAAATTCTCATCATTTGAAGTTATTTTTCAAATTGCTTGATGTTTTTTGCAAATCAACCAAATTTTTTTTCGCAAATTCCCATAGTTTTTCCTCTTATTTCACCGGAGTGGTAGATAGGCCGGCAATCACTAATTTGTGTTCGGTTCTTTGACTAATGAAAAAAAGTGTAAGGTATTTTTTATTATATGTTGGCCCCCTCAAAACTCGCGAAGTTCCGCTACTTGTAGGAAAACTTGCGGTTTTTAAGGAAATTTCGGTTATTTTCAATAAAAGTGGAGGTAGAAAACTATGGTTTTTCATAGAAAATGATGAAAAAACCCTGCAAATTCCGAGTGGTAGTTGCAAAGAATCTCCTATTTGTGTGTTTTGTTCTTTCACTAACGGAAGAAAATGTAAATTATTTTTTATTACATAGTACCACCTCAACGCCGAACATCAATTCTAGTAGAAAAACCCAAAATTCCTACGAATTCAACGTTCTAAGCCCTTGATAGAAAATCATGCACCGATTTAAACAAAAAATCTGACAATTTTCATAACTTAAGTGTATGTGATATACACTTTCTGGTATAATTTTCGAATATTCCAAGTGGGTTTCCTGAGCAACTCGTTAAAGATACCGAATTTTGCCAGGAGAGCAAAGCTGTAGACAATTTAACTGTCTTTAAGTGCCTTTTAAAATTTTTGCACCAACCCGAAGATGGCCGGAGTTACGGACTGAAACGTCAGTCAGCAGGACAGAATTATTTAACTTTTTTGCTAAAACTTTGATGCTTTGAAATATTTTGTTCTAACTACTTTTAAAAGGTTAAATTAAAACGTGGTGGAATGTTCTAGAATATTATGTGTTCTGTTCTCTGACTAAAAAATACAAAATGTAAAGAATTTTACATTATATGTTACCGCCCTCATAACTCTGAGGCCAGTGAACAGATGGCGACTGTCAGAAAGCCAAATTATAAAGAACAAAAATACCTTTAAAATAAATTCTCATCATTTGAAGTTATTTTTCAAATTGCTTGATTTTTTCGTAAATCAACCAAATTTTTTTTCGCAAATTCCCATAGTTTTTTCTCTTATTACACCGGAGTGGTAGATAGGCTGGGAATCAATAATTTGTGTTCGGTTCTTTGACTAACGGAAAAAAGTGTAAGGTATTTTTTATTATATGTTGGCACCCTCACAACTCCCGAAGTTCCGCTTCTTGTAGGAAAACTTGCGGTTTTCAAGGAAATTTCAGTTACTTCTAATAAAAGTAGAGGTAGAGAACTGGGTTTTCATGGAAAATTATGAAAAAACCATGCAAATTTCGAGTGGTAGTTGTAAAGAATCTCCTTATAACGGAAGAAAATGTAAATTATTTTTGATTACATGGTACCACCTCAACGCCGAACCTCAATTTAAGTAGAAAAACCCAAAATTTCTACGAATTCAACGTTCTAAGCCCTTGATAGAAAATCATGCACCGATTTAAACAAAAAATCTGACAATTTTCATAACTTAAGTGTATGTGATCCACAATTTCTAATTAAAATTTCCAATATTCCAAATGGGTTTCCTGAGCAACTCGTTCAAGATACCGAATTTTGCCACGAGAGCAAAGTTGTAGACAATCTAACTGTCTTTACGCGCCTTTTTAAATTTTTGCACCAACCCGAAGATGGCCGGAGTTACGGACAGAAACGTTAGTCAGCAGGACAGAATATGTGAATTGTTTTGCTAAAACTTTGATAGTTTGAAACATTTCGTTCTAACTACTCTTAAAAGGTTAAATTAGAACGTGGTGGAACGTTCTAGAATATTGTTCTTTGACTAACAAATACAAAATGTAAAGAATTTTACATTATGTGTTACCGCCCTCATAACTGAGGTGAGTGAACGGATTGTGAGTTTTCAAATTGCTTGATGTTTTTCGCAAATCAACCAAATTTTAATCGCAAGTTTCCAGTCAAAGTAAAAATGTAAGGTAATTTTTATTATATGTTGCCACCCTCATAACACCCAAAGTTCATTTTTAGTCGAGAAACTTGCGGTTTTTCAGAAGATTTTTGGTTTTGTGAAGTCGATGTCCAGATAGAAAGTTACCAGATTTTTTGGTTGCGATTGTAAACGCAATTTTTCGAAAACTCTTTGAGTTTCGAGTCAATCAGAATTTTCGAAAATCAAAATTGTCCAGATATTCGTTTAGAAAAATTGTCATTTTTTGATCTTGGAAGTGACGTGGAGTAATTGCAAAACACATTTTTATTTTCAAAAAAATCAATATCTTCTGACTAATAGATAGGAAAATGTAAAAGAGTTTTGCGTTATATGTTACCGCCCTCATAACTCTGTTCGAAAATTGCATTTTTGCAAAACTCCAATGAGTTTTGGACGTTGCTTAATAATTAGTACCATTATTCTTATTCCGGTGTTGCCAGATTTGCAAAAATTTCTTGTTCTGCTGGATAAATAATTTTTTCGTGTTTTGCAACCGATCCAGGACTGACTGTGGAAGTTGCGAGGTGCAACATGCAAAGCTATTTTTTTCAAGAACATATTTTGTTGTCCTTAAAGTTTATATCCGGATTTCAGGTTTGAAAAAGCCCAATCGTATGGAAATGTTCTTAGGGCAATGTTGCCACAATTTCACAAATTTCGTCGGTTTTATGAAAAATCTTGCCACTAAACTGCCTGTTACGCCACGGGAGGGTGCGCGTATTTTTCAGTTAGAATCCAAACTTCAGCTTCAGTGGCGTACTTAAGGTAAAAAATACGGAAGAAAAAACTCCAGATCTTCGGGAAAACACATGAAATAATCCACCGATTTTGGCGCTTGAACCTTCATTTCGAAGGGCTGAAAATTGGCTTTGAAACTGCGTTAAAGTCCGGTAAAAAACCCACCAATTAAAAGGATTTTTTGCACCATTATTGCAGGTGTCTGGAATCAGCTCAGATATTTTCAAGCAGATAGAGGCGGTGGAAAACGACCATGACTCCTCCACAGCTGCCGCCCTCGAAGTAAGTCGCCCTACCCGCTTCTGTTTCGTATTTAGCCGCTTATCCTGCAGTTGGGGAAATTTGCCCAACATTGGCAACGTTGCCTCGGGTATCACTTTTGCTGTTAGCACAGGTTTTAAATAAGTTCTATATTGTTGAGGCGGATTCATTTTTTTTAATAAGAACGAATTATTGATCAATAAGTAGTCAAGAACTGTCACCTAGAGGGTATCCTGCGACACACTTAGGCTCAAGCTGTAAGAGAAAATTCCAATTAGTAGAGAAATTAATTTGAA